CCCCCCCCCCCCCCTGAATTGTTCTGTTCTTGTCCCACTCGAAAGTAATAGTCATTAATTTTTAACAATTATTCATTTTTCATTTATCAAGTAGACTGCTGACGGTTGAGGACGAGTTGAGGAGGGAGCAAAGCACGATGGCCAGTATGATCAACGTGAAGCAACAAGTAATCCACGCGCAGGAAGAGAAGATCCAGGCGCTGGATGCCGCCAACTCGCGGCTGCTCGGGGCGCTGTCCCAGCTCAAAGACCGCTACTCCAACTCCCTTCTCCACACAAAGAATGGGTACAATGGGCACGCGCGAAACAATGGCAACCCTTCGTCAACCAACAACGGCAACGGGTCGTCGCAATCGTCGACGGCGTCCCAGCCGCCATCGACGGAGGCACAGCCTACTTCCAGTCCACACCCGAACAAATTTCCTGGGAAATTAACCGTGGACTTCGACGTCCTCAACAGCCCCGAGCTGAAGAGCAGTTTGTGTTGAATGTTCCTCTTGCGCTGTGTGAAGCGCATTAACGTACAAGTTCATTTTTTCGAACTGCTCTTTTTTGTTTTTCTTCCCACTTCCTTTGAAAAAGATTGGACCAATTTTTGTTATCAATCAACGTATCAATATCAGCAAATGGATTCGGAAATGTTGTACTGTATATTGAAGGAAAGCCAAAGATTTTTTTTTTCGTTTTTACCCGCGGACAAGACGCGAAAGCGGAGCGTTTTAAACATTATCGTAACACTTGGAACGTTTGAACGAATGCAAGCTGAGGAACAAGATAGCACACGACGTGTTTGTTTTGCTTCTGCTTTATTCGGGTTTCTGCACCGCATGGAATTCTACGTGTTGCGCTTTGTTACTCACTCAAAAATTTGGTAAGAACGTAGCCCGGTTTTTGAAATTTTTTTAAGGAAATTTTTTTGGTCGTGCCTTGCTAGGCGATTTTGTGCTAGGTTGATGTTTCTCTTCGTATTATCGATTTCGTAAAGTACTGTCCGCCCCCCCCCAAGAGTTTTTTTTATGGAAAAGAAAAAAAATTGCTGATCACATCTTGCAAGCGCGAAGATTTCGAATTGAATACTATTGAAATTACGTGTTTGTCTCCGCAATGATGGAAATGAACATTTGAGACGTCGATTGATTTTGAAAGTGATAGTTTTATTTCTTTAACCTTTGTTCTTCAACACAGATCACTTGCCTCGAACTTAAAATTGAAATTTCAACAGGACTTAAATGCTTTCATCTGCCACACATCGGCAACGGAATAAGGGTCGCTTGTTAAACATATGGTATGCCACAATTTTAGTTTAAACATTTTAAGAGTACAGTACCTGTCTCCGGAAAATATCAGAAAATAATTCCAACTCGTTTCAATTTCTTCAGCTCGAATATTGTTGAAAACGCCAAAAATGACCAGAATCTTTCGATTTTAGATTTTACTTGGATCATCAATTCCTTTGAATCAAATTAACTGAAAAACATTTCAAATTTCCTCCACTTTTTCTAATCTGACAAACACAATCCGTAAGTTTCCGAATACGTGCGAATAAAATTACGGAGATGAGACCCTTCCCAGAAAACATGCCCACAACGGCAACAAACGAAGAACATATTCGTCTCTACCGACGTGTGCTCGACGCGTAACGCTCCACCATGGCCACAAGCTAACCTGCGTCCGTTCAGAAGCTTCCCGGTTTTCACATTGACGAAGCCGCCGATAACCCGAGTCCAACCGAGTTGGCCAACACTTCGCCAATTGCCAACGCCATGCTTTTCCGTTTCCTCGGCAATTTCCTTTCGAGTCAGCCCACAAATTCTCTTCGCCCTCCCTAAAGCTAAAAGCTGAGCACACGAATCTTCAAGTCGATCATCGAATTGGTTCCCATCAGAATCCATTGGCCGCAAAGGGACAACTTTGTCGGCCATCACTGACATGACCTGTCCGTGTATTCCCAAGAACCGCTCCTCATTGCAGCTCTGAAAAGTCGAATAAATCAGACATTTGGAAACCTTATAAATTATAACTACCAAGAATAAAAATTCGAAAGCACTAGGCAACTCACAGCGCATCTAGAAAAAATCTGGTCCTTCGTGATTTTCAGATTGAAAGCGCGAACGACTTGCATCACTTGTTCAGGTACTTTGTTGTACTTGATGCAGAGGATCACAGACGGGAGCACATAACCACACAACTAAAATGGGAAATATATAATTAATAAAGGTGAAGTTAGAAAAGTTGAGCGTAAACCCACGTTCTTTGGCAACGATACGCAGACAAATGCGAAAATAAAGCAGAAGATACATGAGGACCAACACCTAAAATATTACAGTAATAAAAATTGACTCACGTCACGGTACGATTTCCCCTGCTTCGCGAGAATAACACGTTTTTCAAGACGGTGATACTCGACGCATTTCTGACGCGGTTCTCCGTCCGTTATGCTTTTGGCATCCACACCCAAGGACCTCAATTGCCTACCTGTGAAGTAGAAAAAAATTCTAGCTGATGATACAATTCTAAGGTAATTGGCCATAAATTGAAGCAGCTTTACACAATCCTCGAAGAGCAAGATCTGTTATCACTCGTAGCTGACCAGGAGACACTCTCGGCCTCTGAGATTCGCAGCTGCTTCCATCACAGCATACCTGAGAAAACAAGGCCAGACTTAGAATCAGAAACTCTTGAGTGGATCAGAAAAATTCTGAAAAAGTGATATACCTTCATTTTATTCAATAATCACAGAAGTCAGTCAAAGCATTTAAAGATTAAACTTAGGGTTAGCATTCGTGCGAATGTTCAAATTTAAAAATTCACCTTTACTCCCGAGATTTTTCAAATAGTCAGAGTTTTGAACATATTGTTGCAATTTGCTCGCCATGAAGTTCACAAGAGATAGAATAAATATGGTTGCGACAGAATGCATATTTCATGTCCCAGTTCCGGGCGCCCTCGAAAACAGGTCTTTTTTTTAATTTCTGCTACCAAAAAAAGTCTGCAAAAAATCGAATATAGAAATCGATAAGTATGGAAATTTCGAAAAAACGTGAAGCCGCCAGAACGAACACAATTTTTTTTTCGAATAGATATTCTCCAGAAGCTCATGTTCTTGAAAAAAAAAAGCCAACCATTCGAAGATTTACCTGGGCAATATCAGAGGGTCCAGGTATACAATTTGAAGAACATCCATTGCTTTGTTGAACACAAGGTTGCACGGGAACGCTTGCACCAAAAACCGGGGG